TTACTTATAGGAAGAGTTTTTTATACTAAAAATAACAATATATATATATAATATTATCAAAATTGTGTGTTACATCGAATATAGATCATTTTTTTAATATAAGGAAATCCGCCCTAGTCATGGCGAAAAAAATTTCAGATCACGTGTTGTAGATCTGATCTTGTCCAATTAGAGGATCCACTAGTAAAACTGTAAATTTTTTGATACATTGACTCTACAATAAACTATACTCAAACTATATCGATATACACATTCTATGTATGTGATTTATAACTTTACAAGCAAGAATTATAGAACAGCAAGAACTTAAAATCCTTTATTTTATTTTATAATAGATAAGTTTTAAGTACTTTTTTTTAGCAGAGTTTTAATTTAAAATTTTTTATCGTTATTATTTCTATGTAATTTTATTCTTATTTATTATATGATACTTATAATTTTAATCAATGCAATCAGAAGGCAAGTTTTCCTTGTGTTTTCCAAGTAGCTTGTTGTTTATGGGATTGTAATACCGATTCACAGTCATCAATTTCTTTTAAAATTGGCATCATTAACTTATCGAAGTTATTTACAAAATTATCATTATTAATTTCTCGTTCATACAACTCTAATGCGGTATTAAACTTCTTTTTATATATAGCATATTTCTCTCGTCTATATTTCATTACATCATAATTTTCTTCTGAAAAATCTCTTGAGTTGGAACTAACTTCAGCTAAATTATTTATATCTACTTCTATCTCCATAGTATATCTAGCCCAAGGATTATTTACCGAAGCAATGGTTGGAATTTTATTATTACAAAAAAAAAGCAGAAAGTAATCATGTCGTCTTGTTATTTTTAAAAAAGTTGGTTGAAATTCTGCACCTTTTTTATTAACAAGATGTTTACAAATGGTATAATTATTTTGTAAATACGCAGAACAAGAGCATATCCAATTGTCAGTGTCAATATGATATTTGTCTTCTGCATCAGATAAAATATCTGCAATAATAGCTTTGTACCAATCAGCTTTGAAATTTTGCCACCATGCTGGAAAAGCTCAACCTCCATTATATTGAGCAAGCTTAATTTCAAAATCTGGAACAAGTTGTTCTGTTATAATTTGGGTAAGTTTGTCTATCCGTGGACGATTGTAATTGTATTTATAATTATATTTTAAAACTCTCCAATGATTTTCTGTAATCATTGTAGTACGTGCAAAAGGTATAGCATATGGATATGAAGATAGAGCAGACAATTTCCAATTTTTTTCATTGTACCAGCTTGACCATAAATAGCCCCACAATTTAGTGAGATTATATGACCGGCAGAATTAATAGGCTTCTTTTTTTTTTTTTTTTTTTTTAAATTCGGCAGTCATGCCAAAACTTTATTAGACTTTGTACAACCAGCTATACTGTA